GCACACACCATCAGTCTACTGCTTGTGAGTGTGTGTGTGTGTGTGTGTGTGTGTGTGCTCAAGGTGTTTGTTTACCTGTGTGCGTTTTGCTCGTGTATATTTGTGTGGTATGTGTGAGTTTTCTGATGTGCCTGCATTTTTGCTGCGCCTGCATGTGTTAGTGTGTAAGTCTGGCTGTGTGTTGTTTACAAGTTGAGTGAGTGAGAGGGTGTGTTTATGTGTGTGCTATAAATTATTGATTGTGGACCATTTTAGGTTTTTGTCTTTTTTCGTGTCTTTGCCATTGGCATTTCTGTCACTCGTGTCCCAAATACAAATATATGAATTCATCTAGGAATGGATTAATTCATTAGTTAAAGGTCCAGTGTGTCATAGTTAGGGGGATGTATTAGCAGAAATGGAGTATAATATAAGAGATATTTATATCTACATAGGGAGCGGGTCTTCCTCTGCCATGCTGCACCGCCATTTTTCTGCTGTAGCCTGGTATGACAAACCAAACACTGGCTCTAGATAGGACCATTCGTGTTTTTGTATTGGCCATCTTAGCACGCAGCCCCCCATGACAAGCACTGTCAGAAAAACATTGATTTTTTCAAACATGAAACTGCTTTATTCTGTGTTTTTATCAGTTTAAATCCACTAGATGCCACTAAATCCCCCAAAATCTTGCATGCTGCTTTTTTGATATATTAACTTATTGCTCCAGTGTGTGAATGATTAGCAGCAGTCATGGTCTTTAGCCATATTCATTAAACATAGAGAAACTAATTAAAAAAGAATCCCTTCAGTTAAATGATAATTTCAGCTTTGGTTAATGTCTGATATTTTAGAAAGGTTAAGGACACAAATTTTGCCAAAACGCAATAATTAAAACATATAAATTTGCAAATGTCACTAAAAGTAGTCAAATTTGAATATATTATGTCTTTAGAGAATGTGAAAGTGGGATGGGGTGGCCATCTTGTGAGGTAAGCACTCTGTTACCTGTCCATGCTCGTTTCCTGGGTCAATGTTTTTTTAAAACTTGCACAAATCTGGCCCGTTATGAGAGCCAACCCGCCCTGCTTGACCCACAAACATATGTGTTAAGCAGTGACCTGAAACCAGGGCTGAAAGTCTCTGCTAATGGCCACTGCTCATAACAACCTACTTGCTGTTAGCTGTATTGTCTGTCATTTTGTTTGGTTTATGGGCTAATTGGGCCAAATAAGGGGTGCAAGCTCACCTTTACGAGTACCACTGTGCTCCCTTGCTTGTGAATTAGCAGTGTGTGCACCCAGACACTTTAAAACTGTGCATGAACTTCTAAGGATTTGTAACTTTTAAACTCACACAAAGCACATGCACACAGTTCAGAAATGAGATGGTTTACAATGTCCTGGTATGTGAGTGGCGGTGGTGCATTGGGGTCCATAATCCAGCAATGGGCTGGATCTATGTTGTTTATCGTGATTTGTTTGTCAAAATAATGTTACTTGACCAATGTAGCAGGCACAGGCAACAAACAGCATGTTCCTCAAAAAATGGCTCCCCCTTTTCAACCAGAAGTACATTCATTTCTAATGAGAACCTCCATCTCAGATGTGGTGGTGAAAACACCTTTTTTTCAGTCTGGAATTTGGCTTGAGTACGTAAAAACATCGAACTTTTGTGGTAGTTAGAGTTAGAATGAATTAGCTAACAGATTGATGAATGTAATGCAGCTTTTAATTTATTTATTTTTTTTCTATGGAAACATCCGATGGCATGTTTAGCTACGTAACACTCGTAGCATGCTACCAGTGTCACATATAGAGTGCATACATAGTGGTCCATTCATCTTTTACCAAATTATTTCACAAAACTGGCTACACATCTAACAGTCCAACCTCCTCACGTATTTATCGCCAGGTATTATTAGCCCTGTTTTTGTCTCTGTTCTGCTTTATGGGCATGTTTGCGTTGAACACTAGGGACATACTCTGTACATTATACAAAAAACAAGCTGCATGGAAAGGAGGCATCAGTGTCCTCAGAGGACTTTGCAGCCCTGGTGGTTTGCAGGGACTCCCCAGCCAAATGAGACATAATTCAATTTCAGTGTTGTTCCCGTCAGATCATATTGAAACAATGCATGACAGTTTTGGTGCTAGTTTTCAGTCTCTCCCCTGTTTTTATCATCCCACTTAGGGAGAGATAGTTGGGAAGATCCTGGTTCATCCACCTTGCTGTACGTTTTTTAAGCTAAAGACTATAGACCCAGTAGCTCTCCCTGTGGAGGGGGATCAATGAAGCATCTAATTGTCTGACTGTTAATGCTCCGTTAAACTAAATTAGAATTAAACATTAAAATAGTCTCCTTCAGTGAAAGTATCATCATGTATGGGTCAGTGGTATTAATGCAGCACTGTTTTAGGGGTTCTTGACATTTTAAAGATTTTAATGTTCACACTCACACCCCCAAATATAACCATACTTGGCCAGAAGACCCTGTTTTATACGAGGTGTTTTACTCCCTATAATGGAAAAATTTAGTTGCTGTTGTGTTGATTTGATATTAAATTGGACATCTGTTCGGAGCCCATGTTGTAATGGAGCACATAATGATGGTTACAGTGAACAGTGAAAGCAGTGATTGGAAGAGTCACTCTCTTATTGGAATATCAACTGAGGAAAACCTTAGAGTGAAATTAGACAGTTTCTCAATTCACCAAAGAACCCAAGAGTTTCCTTTAAAGACCTCTGGGACTGCTTTTAAAGATCCCTGCTTTTAGAGTTGTGTTTCTCAACGGGAGTGGTATTGACCCCCAGGGGGCGTTTAGAGAATGGTGGGGGGCACTGGAGGCAACTTTTTTGAAAAGGGGGCATTGGATTGTTTCTGTGTGTCTGCTTTCTAATAGCTTAGTTTATTCCTACAGTCACATCTTCACAAATCTATGACTCACTGTTCCGCCATCGTCTGAAACTTTTTCAAAGAAGCTTTCCCTGCTGAAGACAAGGCTTGTGCTCAGCTTTTCATTGTTATGTCTCTACACCAGCGATAGTCTGAGTGGGCGGAAGTTCGCTGCCTAGATCAGCCTCTCATTGGGTGGAACAAGCCACCCACTGAAGTCCCGCCCTACCACCTCCGGTTGCAGTTTTCAACACGTCCTTTATTAACTTTTGCGGTGTTTGATCTTGCGGGGATGTAGCCATTTTTCTGCCATGGTTCGCGTCCTGTAGGCGATATTTTTGTGGGCGTGTTACACCAAAACCTGTTTCCCCCGGCAATATTTTTGCAAGCGCACCGTTGCTGTGGCACTGCCTAGAACGATTGTGATTGGCTGAAAGAAATACAAGCAGCCGGAGCGTTTTTTTCTCCAATCTTAAAGTGAGAGTCGGCCCAGCCAGACCTTTCTTTTCTTGAGAAAGGTCTGGTGAGCGAGACTACACCAGTGATAGCTGTGGCTAGAGGCATTATGTCCTCCGTTCGTCCGTGTGTCCATCCCATTCTTGTTAGACTCACAAGTCAGTCTTTAGATGCTTTGCTTAACTAAAGACTGATGACTTTCTCCCTGATTTTGTGTTTAGATGGGCGGATACAATTTCAGAGTTTAAAAAAACTCCCTACGTTGCAGAACCAATAGTAAATCTGCAGGGCGGTCCTTCGGTGGCTCGCTGAACTCTTGTGCTCGTAAACATAGTCCTACTAGAAACGTGCAGCGGTACAAAATGGCTCAAGTCGCTGTAAGTCCTTCATTTCCACAATCTTGTGGACTGAGCACACGTTTGATAAAAGGGAGTTAAATCTCTCGGCATCAATTTTCAAGCTCTCTGTGTGTTTGTGTCCTTGCGGATGAAAAAAGGGGGAGTGAACATTTCCGGGAGGGCGTGTCCTTTTCAAAAATGCAAGAGGCGTTGCTTTGTTGTTGGCCGTTTTCGTTGGTGTGTTAAACACACTTTAGAAAGGAGTGTCCTTAGACTATCAGAAGGCGGAGATCTCTGATTGTCTGGTGGCGAGACTACATTCTTGTAGGTGTTATATATCTCAAGAACGCCTTGAGGGAGTTTCTTCAACTTTGGCAGAAGTGTCCACTTGGACTTAAAGGTGGAGTAATTTGGAGATTTTGGTGGTCATAAGTCAAAGGTCAAGGTTACTGTGACCTTTTTCCATCTCATTTCTTATATGTGATATCTCAAGAGGTCCTTGAGGGAACTTCCTCAAACTTGACACAAACATCCACTTGGACTTAAGAATGAATGGATTCGAATTTGGTGGTTGATGGTCAAAGGTCAAGGTTACTGTGACCTCACAAAACATGTTTTTGGCCATAATTCTGGAATTTTAAGGCTAATTATGACAAAATTAATAACAAATGTCTGATAGGATATGATGCTGAACTGATGACATTTTATACCCAAAAGGTCAACGTCACTGTGACATCATAATGTTCTGCAAAAACACTTTTCTGGCCATTACCTCACATCATATCTCAGAAACAGAAGGGGAGACACCTCAGGAGGAGCAACTGAGGAGGGATCCCTCTTACAGGATGGACAGAAGTACAATAGATGTCGTACAGAACAGATCAACATAATACATTTGCAGTGATCCATATGACACAATGAGACATAAAGAGAGGGAGAGACAGAGAGGGATGCAGGGCAGACAGTAGTGGTAGCATATGTCTTAAGTATATATTGATATATGTTAGTATATGTATGTGACAATAATATTTATATTTGTTTACTAACACTCAAATATCAGCTCTATTCACATGGCCTATTCACTCTCTGATAATGATATCACAAATGTCTAATTTAATCAAATCTGTTTATTTCAGTGACATGCTTTTTTAATGATAGGACACACAACACATTTCTCAAGGGAGACAAGCTGCCTACATTTTAAGTGATAGGGGTGGTAAGGGTTTGGATAGCGGATGTGGTGCACTGGCCAAAAAAGGCTGACAAGCACTGTTTTATAGCCGTGTACAAAGAACACCACTGTTGGCCTCTAGGTGTCGCCATAACAAATCCCCTACACTCCTCAGCCCTGCTGCTGTCAGCTCTCTGCGCTCTCTTTGGCTGTTTACAACATCAATGGCGGAAGTCTCCTCATTCAGTGAGTTTTTATTGAATATTTACAAAGGAAAGCAGTGACAGGTGTAAAATGTGAAGTCGGGTGATTAGCAGTGAAACAAAGAGTCGGTGTGTGTGTTGTTTATGTCACAATAGTGCGGTTTTACTGGTGAAAAAGCGGAAGTAGGCAGCGTGGCTCACTCCTCCACAGTGTCTCCATACATCCTCACACAGCAGCGTTTAAGCAGTTAACGTGTTGTGAGTGAACAGTCGCCGGGAAGTGTAGCCTAATGTGTGTCACGGAAAGTTCAGCAGGCTTTGTTACTTGTAAAGGAGCTCGTGGTTCAGTGGTTTAGCATTGATTTAGCCCAGTGGAGCCCATTTATGTATCAACACAGCACAAAGTGTGGTGGATTATTTCAGCAGCTGGAGAAGCCCTGCAGGCAAAACACCTGTGGTTATGTTACTGAAACATGTTGCGTGTTGTTGTTGTTACAGTAAAACATAAATGCGTGCATAATTAACCAGATTTATGGTGTGGAGATTTTACTTTGAAGACTTTCAAATACCCTGCACAGGCTGTTAGTTAAAAAATAAGCAAGTAAGTAATGGACCATGTATATTTTAACATTTGTAAAAAAAAAACAAAAAACAAATCAGATGCTAATGATTGACCACTTTTATAATACACTGGGGATAAATCTTTAAATATAGGGCTAATGATAAATAATATTTCCATTCATTTGTGTTATGGGACTGGGTGTATGGTGTGTGAATGTGGGGGAATTACTTAGAATAACTTCTATAAAAAGAAACAGCTTTCAAGGCTTTACTTTGACTTTAATTGGGGTTGTGGAAAAGTGCCTCTGGTTCAAACAGGGTTGTGGGTATAGCTGCAACGATATACCAGTGTCAAGGCATACTGTGACGTTACCGTATGATGGTTATTATATTGTGTACATTTGCTTATCTGCAATTTTTTTTTAAAAAAGCAACTGGACGGAGAATCTCCCCTTTATTTTAGTTTTTCTATTTTTATATACTTTATTAATCCCCAGAGGGGAAATTCAGTTTTTTCACTCTGTTGTCATTAACACACAGGTCCGACATACACACACATGCACAAGCAGGACCTATACATGCACAAAGTGGAGAGATGTCAGAGTGATGGGGCTGCTCTGGACAGGCAGCCTGAGTGGTTGGGGGGTTCAGTGCCTTGCAAGTCTGCCCAAAGGGAAGACTTTTCACACATGCCTCCATTAACAAAATGGTTCCAAGTTTGAGTTATACTAATAAAAATGTTTGTTCAACCAAACCAGGGTCACTCTGACTGATAGTAATATAAATTCTGTAATACCGTGTAACTGTGATATTTTCCCAGACGGTTATTGTATCGGGAAAATCTCATACCATTGCAACCCTAGTTGAGGGCCAGATAATGATTGCATAATTCCACTTTGTGGCAGCTTAAGGTGAAGTCATTTGCCACATGAGTAAAGTCCAGTGGGGTAGCGCACAAACTTAAGTTAATACTTAACACTGTCTAGTTGTTTTTGCCAGAGCCAAAGAAGGTAGTTGTTAATAGTTCAGCTGAGGCTGAGTTATTGTTGTGACCAGACAGTATTTAGACTTTTGCTTTCTTAACCATGGTCTGCTCTGTTCTGCTGACTGGATTGTAAAGCTGAGAGGTGAGCAAGGGGAGCACTGGCAAATTTTACAATGTCTGCTTCAGCTTCTTCTTTGTTTATTCATGTGTGTTTTAAAGTGGCAAAAGGATTTGATGCAAAAGGATGGCTGGTGAAGACACATTTCAGAAGTTTTGGTTGAGTTAAATGCAGTGGTGTAAAGGTAGTTGATGAGGTGGGTGTACTACTAGGTAGGTGAGTAGGGTAGTGATGAGGAACTGAAGTGGGTATACTCTCTTATTCCTCTTATTCCAGTGGGTTTCTTTTGCCTGATAGGAGGGTATACTATAAATGTCCAGAAAAAGAGGTGGGTATACCATGTGTACCTGTGTATACCCTCCACAATACCACTGGTTAAATTACTTAAATAAAAAAAAGGTTTATTCTTCAATGTAAAAAGGTTGTTTATAGATTATTGCAGATATTATTCCATGTAGCAATGTGGAATTTCAAGTTTACTGTTAAACTTAGTCTATGGAGAATGATTGATTCTTTATTTTGATTGTGAAACTGAAAATTCTGGCATTTAGCCTTTTAGCAAATTAAAAGCTCTTCATTATGTAGAGAATGATTATTTGATTGATTCCTTCTCATGAAAATTATTTTTTAGGGCTGTAGCTGATGATAATTTACTACACTATTGAATAATCTATCAGTCATTTTCCTGATTAAATGCTGTTTTGGAATCATGCCCATTACATTTTCTCAGAGGCCAAAGTGTTACGTCAAGTTGCGTGTGTGTCCAAACAACAGTCCAGATCCCCAAAGTATTTAATTTATTATATGTGACAAAGAAAAGTGGAAAATCCACACATATGAGAAGCTGGAACCGGAAAATGTTTTATATTTTTACCAGAGAAATGACTAAGGAAACATTAGTAATCAATGAATGAAACTGTGAATCACTTTTTAAAATAACTGACAATTTGTTATTTGTCAAATGGTTAATCAACTAATTGATCAAATGCTTAAGCTCTTTTTTTATTTTCTTAACATTTTTGCTGCTAATAGGGGTTTTATTTCCTCTTCAGCAGACAATGTGACATCTGTCTGATGTGATGATGATATTATCATTATCAGAGGCAGTGTATTGTACCAGAGACAAGTGGACAGTTAAAAGAAAATCAGTCTTACATTTTTGTGGTAATTTCTAATTTCAGTAATTTTTTGAGCACAAACTCCATAATTTTGTGGTTGTAGCTTCTTTACATTTGAGCATTTGCTGCTTCCTGCTGTTTTACATCACTGTAAACTGAATATCTTCTGATATTCTGATATCTTTGGGTTGTCGTCAAGGTTGTGATGTGTATGTTTCACTTTTCAGTAACATTTACATTTTAAAAACCAGGGAATTAATTAAGGAAAATAATCTGCACATTATTTGTGTCTTGAGTAACGCAGTGATCCAACCTTCCTGTCACTGTGCTCTCGTGTGCATGTTAGTGTTTGTATTCAGTCCACTTGTTTCAGGCGGAATAATTAGCCAGGAGGAGGGCTGGTGATAAACTGGGATTAGAGACAAGTTGGAAAATGAAATGACTTCCTTTCATCGATTGTAAAAGAAAAGAACAAAAGGAGGAAACTAGGAAAAAAAAAAAGCGAGAGGAGTACCAACAGTGTCTGTCCTCCCCTCCTCAGTTCCAGGTGAGTCGGCTGATTGAAGACGGGCTCCTGTGGATCCTGGCCATGGATGAAGAGTTGACGCCTTTGGACTGCCTGCTGCCCTCAGGTACTGCCTTTCAAACACACATTCCCATGGCGCAAGCACACGTACGCAATCAATCAAATACGCAGGTCCATGCACATATGGCGCATTCACCCACAAGCCACAAACAGGGACCTAAACACGGATCTGTATGCGTCTGATCAAAACACACACTTACTCACATCACTGTCACACTTGTCTTCTCCTCTCTGCTTCTCCCAGTCACTCTGACACACACAGACGGTCTCTGGGGAATTAAAACTCAAAAACAAATCACTGGCACTTTCATGACAACAATGTGTATATGTATGAGATACACTTTCTTGTGTCTTTTATGTTTGGCTGCGTACATAATGAATCTTTATTGAAAGATGGCCTGATGTGTTTGCTTGTAACAATGGCTGTTTGAGGAAAACAAACTTTGAGGAAGCATTTTGCTCATTGAAATACTTCTAAAAATAAATAGCCTTGCTCCTGAATAAAATCCCTGTCATCATATAAATTCACTTTGTTCGAACACAACATTAGAAAACCAAATGCAATCTGATATTAGAATGAAGAAAATCCCATGATAGTACATGAATTCATTCTTGGTACATAGGCACATTTTTGTAGGATGATTAAGACCCCCAGAGATTCTGTATTTGTCGGTGTTCTGAAAGAAAGAAACCCTCCAGATGGTCAGCGCTGACTACCCTACAGACCTGAGGAGGAGGCTGGTTATAGCTGCCTTTAGCTACTGCTCTCAGGTCAAGGTTTAGCTCCCTGGTGGTGTGTGTGAGTGTGGAGGGAGGGAAGCTTATATGAGCTGAAGGGCAGGTTTTACTCAGAGCTGTAAGGGTCAAGGGAATCGTACAACAGTTTGGCCTGTAAAGGAGACAGTCGGCACATCTAGTTCCCTTCATCTCATTTGTTGGTCTTTACAGCTAGTGTTACACATGTTATTGCCCTGTAATATTTATACCTCTGCACTGGCAAAAGCCGTGGCTGGAGGCATTATGTTTTTGAGTTGTCTGTCTGTCTGTCTGTCCGTCCCATCCTCGTGAACGCAATATCTCAAGAACACCTTGAAGGATTACTGATTAGATTTCGGTGGTCAAGATCAGCGTGACCTTGCAACAGTCTCATTCTTGCGAAAGGTTGATATCTCACCAACACCTTGTGGGAATTTCTTAAATGTGGCACAAACATCCACATGGACTCAATGATGAACTGATTGGGGGGGGGGGGGGGGGGGGGGGGGGGGGGGGGGGGGGGGGAGTTGTGTGTGAAGCATCCAAGTTTTCACAGACATGCATAAAGTGCAACTTGAGTGGTGTGTGGAGGCATACATCCACAAGGCGATAATTCTAGTTGAGATCCATTATATAAAGAGCTGATTTTCTGACTTACATGAAAAATATTCCTGCTGTACACGCTAAGAAGATGATAAAGGGGACTGCCATTGGTTGAGCAGCAACAGATACACTCTGTCTAAATTAAATTGTGGTGTGGGGTTTTGACACTGGCTAGAAATATTGTCCACCCACAGAAAGATATAAATAGAGAGCTTAGGAGTGAAAAACAAACGTTCTGTCCCCAGAAAGCTCAGCCGAGTCAGAGCTTTTGCCTCTCTCATCCTTCTTGGATTTGTCGACACACAGGCACAGGTTCAAAGAGATCCAGTAAACATACTTTGTACAGTTTACCGATGACTCTTAGAGGTGAATTTCAGGTATCTCAGTCATCTGTGGTGTTGCATTTCTGGAGTTGCTCTACAAAGGTAATTTGCTGGAACCACTTTCCTTCAACCTGCCACTGTTTGGACAGCTAAAGAATCCTGTATCGAGCTGTACTCTACTTGAAATATAGAAATATCCAGTCTTGACCTCTTGTTGTCTGTGTTTGCCAGCTGACAGAGTGGAATGTGGGAAACAAAAAATCACCACTAAAGAAGAAAATTGGCCGGGGAATGCAAGATGCCGTGCCAAGGACAAACATTATTTGGTTCCAGCTTTTCCAATATAATATAACTGAATATCTTAAAGTTTTTGACAGTTGGTCGGACAAAATATGCAATTTGAAGCCCCCTTTTGAAGTTATGATGGACATTTTTTTATTTTTTATTTTCCGCCACAAATCAATCAGTGAAATGTAAAAATAATTAATAGATAAATCAGTAATTACAAAAAGATCAAATGGCGACCACCAGTGGAGGAACAGAGCCTAGGGCATGGGTCCTCAATGTTTTTAAGGCCAAGGACCGTTAGCTTTAAGAGAGATTGAGCAGGGATCTCCTTCTACATACATTTTAAAGAACTGAATTGCACTTGAGATTATTCTTTACATTTCTTTTGGTCTTCTGTCGTTTCTGTTTGCCTATAGCCGCTAAGTCAGCAGCAGAGTCTCTTGCTTGAAAAGTTCCAAACTGATCCATTGTGGCTCACAAGATTGTCCATACACTTGGAATAATAATTCAATTAATTGGTCAATTAATATGTTTTAATAGTAATAAATGTTATGGTCTTTATACGTTAAGTTTAAAGACATTTCTCTTGCTTAAAAAGTTATAAAATGGTTGTCCATACACTCGGAATAATAATTCAGTTAACTGGTCATTAATATGTTTTAATAGTAATAAATGTTATGGTCTTTATACGTTAAGTTTAAAGACATTTCTCTTGCTTGAAAAGTTATAAAATGGTTGTGTATTTTCATATATATTTTAATTTTGGGATTAAAAAAACTACAAAAAATTGAATTAAAATTTAGTTTATCCAACAATAGTTTGGCAGCCCCCCTTCGGTAACTCAGATGACCCCCCAAGGGCCGTGGACCTTCTGTTAAACACCCAAAGCCTTAGGTAATAGCACTGTATCAAGTACCACACACAGTATATAGGTTCAGTCCTCTTCTTTCTTGCTTCCCTTGTGTCTTCCTCCCTCTTTGTCTCCATTGATTGCTGTTCGAAGGTTATAATCCTCCTGTTAGACTACAAAGGCCACTGTAATTTTGCTCCTCTATGTGCACATAGGTTTGTATATACTTGACATTCTCGCACATGTGTGATTTGCACAGAAGTGGAACACAGAAGTAGTGTTGATTCTCTATGCTTGTACAGCTCCAAAATCAATAGCACTCAAAGGCCAACATCAGTCAAGAGACACTCGCTTCTGATAGGATGCTATCAGCAGTTCTGAAGCATCCATTCTTACAAATGTTTACTCAAACACGTCAGCTAAGCGTCGCAGGCTACGCTCTTGAGTTTGCTTACTGTACAAATCCAAGATTTATTCTACAGATTTCACACTGTGTGCAAATAATCCCCCAAACGGTTGCAGAACAGATCAGAGCACACACACACACACACACACACACCCTTCTAATGATATAATTTTCTCAATAAACCCGTTACTTTCTATCAAAGGTAAAATGTGCGTTTGAGATTGTATCACACATTTGTAAAATCCGTCTACCAACTGTACAGTGTAGGGAAACACTTTCCCTCCCATTAGATGAGTTTAGAGAATATTTCCATGGTTGCTTTAGTTTCATCTCTGGCAGGAAATGCTTATCTAGACTCTCGGTGGAGAATATAAAAACAGCCCCTGGATGTCTGCATTTTAAAATCCCTGGTGTGCAAAGTTAGCCTTTTAAATTTCACCATTTTAATTATAAATGCCTATTCCTGGAATATCTATGTGCTTAGATTGTGTGTGTGTGTGTGTGTGTGTGTGTGTGTGTGTGTGTGTGTGTGTGTGTACGTTCATGTGTGTGTGTGTCTGTGGTATTTATGCTGTCTGGCACTTTTAAAAGAATCCCAAGGTGACATTTCTTTGAACGGAGTGCACAAAAGGCCGCGCACCTCCTCGCGTGTGTGTGTGTGTGCATGGGGAGGTGAGTGTTTGTGCGACGCGGGGTTATCTGAAAAGTCACGGCTGGTTGAGTTTGTCTTTTGTTCTCTGTACAGCTACAGCCAATTAAGAGACAAGACTGACAAATCTACTCCTCCTCTTTCTCCTCCTCACCTACCCCTTCTTGTGTCCTCCTTTCTTTTCCTCCTCCTCCTCCTTTGTGTCTCCTCTTTATCCTCTCTTCCCTTCCTCTTCCTTTTTACCATACTCTGCTGGGGTTGACTTTAGTATTGGAAATGACCTTCCAGTGATGTGAACTTTTTAACAACATCAAGCCCGCTGCTGCAACAAAGTCAAAAACCCAAAGGACATTTTTTTCTCCACGCTTTCTCAGCCAAGTCAAAATGCACTCTTTACACTTGAGGGTACAAATCCAATAGGGTCTTTTTCCGGACACAAGGTGATGCACATTTTGCAATGAGAATTTCATGAAATCTTAAGCATATTCTTCTCCTTCCTTCTTCACCAGTGCTTTCTCTGGCCTCCCACTGCATTCATGATGTATCAGGGAAGGTGTACTGGGAAAGATACAAGCCGTATTAAATATGCCATGTTGTGTTATTCACAAACTGGAATCCACTTGTGTAGAATTTACATGAATGCATTTAGGAGAGAGGAAATATTGTAATCACAGCTTAAGTTTGCATATGGCATTTCGGCTTTACAACAGGGCAACAACTTTAAGAATGGATAAGAATAAATTTAAAAGGGCAGACATGAGAGTGAAAGATAAATGAGCAAAAGTGTTGAGGCGAGGGGAAGAGAGGCTGTCCCTCAGTCTTTGTTCCATTAAGGCTTTTCAAGCATCTCTGTTTTTACTTTGTCAATGAATGCAGAGTTTCCCATTATTTTGTTTCATCTCCTGCAGATAGAAAAATGACAAATCAAAAGTATCAGCCAGGGGAGCTGCATTCGAAGCAGTGCAGAAGAAAAGCTAAAAGCAAGATGGATGGGGGGTTGAGAGAGGAAATAGATTTATGAAATGATGCTCCCTGGGATAGAGACTTTGACAAAGAAGCATGGAGGTACACAGAGAGCAGCGAGAAGCTATAGAATGTCAGGTTACCTTCACCTGTGCCGTTTTGAAAAGACTTGCCTTTGTTGCCATGTCAGATAGAGATGGCGAGTCACTAAGGTCAAGGTATTCAAATGATCATTGATGGGATGTGTGTGAGCCCTAACAAGGCTCAACATTGACTTTTAGAGGTGGTTGCCGGGTTTGCAAAAAGGCATCTGCTTTTGGTTGCTGAAAATGAAAACATGGTTATTACGTTTAGTCAATTTATATTTTGGGTAACTAAGACACTATGCCAAGGGTTCCTGCAGATCCTGAAAGTCTGAAAAGGCATTGCATCGAAAAAATCTTAAAATAATTCGTAACACCTATTTTTTTTTTTTATTGTTTACCAAATGCTTCTTCTATTAAAAGTCACACAGATCAGGATAGCAGATACAACAATACAAATGGCTAATTAACCAAGATTTCACAGCATGGATGAGACCCTTAAAAAACAATATATATGAGACTTGGTGTGTTTATGCAAAAAGTTTTTCAAACTCGGCATGATGGGAGGCAGTGGAATCCCACATGCAGAATCACAAACGCACTGATTTTAGATTTAATTCCAAGTGGCACTAAATAATCTGACATGAAGAAATATTCCATCCATCCATCCATCCATTTTCAACCACTAATCCGAAGCCAGGTCGCAGGGGCAGCAGGCTGAGCAAAGTATTCCAGGGGTCCCTCTTCCCAGCAACTCTTTCCAGCTCCTCCTGGGGGACCCCAAGGTGTTCGTAGGCCAAACGAGATATGTAATCCCTCCAGCGTGTTCTGGGTCTACCCTGAAGCTTCCTACCAGTGGGGCATGCCCTTAACACCTCTAATGGGAGGCGCCCAGGGGGCATCCTGATCAGATGCCCTAATCAACTCAACTGACCCCTTTCAACGCAAAGGAGCAGCGGCTCTACTCCGAGCTCCCTCCGGATGTCTGAGCTACTTACCCTATCTCTAAAGCTGAGCCCAGCCACCCCACAGAGGAAACTCATTTCACCCGCTTGTATCCGCGACCTCAATTTTTGGTCACTACCCAGAGTTCATGACTGTAGTTGAGGGTTGGACCAGTAAATCGAAAGCTTTGCCTTCCGGCTCAGCTCCCTCTTCACCACAACAGTCTGGCGCAGAGCCCGCATCAATGCAGATGCTGCGCCAAACCGCTGATCAATCTCACACTCCATTCTACCCTCACTCATGAACAAGACCTAAAGATACTTGAACTCCCTTGCTTGGGGCAGTAACTGTCTCCCAACCCAGAGAGGAATGTTTAAAAGATTTATTACAGTAAGCAAACAAAATTTGTTGTGTTTGTGTGATACCTTACAGAATCAATCTTTAGTATTATTGGTTAACATAATATACAATTTCTCAGTTCCTAGAACACAAAATATCAGCAAGTTACTGGTGTCTTGTTCATTCGTTCTCTCCCTTTCGAGGTTTTGTTTTCTGAACCTTTGTGATTCCCACCATAGAAGTCTTGGATTGTTGGTCCCTCAGGTGATAGTTTGTCTATCATTTCTGCTCCAAGAGACGATCTTCAGACTGTCTCGATTCTGCTTAGACAGCTGAATCCCCTCTCACATACAGCTGAAGAGACTGGTAGCGCCAACACCACATCCTGTAGCATCGGAATGTGGGCAAACCCCTTCTGTTGGCCTCCATAACATGCTGCTCTTGAAATAGCACATCACCCTGCATTGGCAATAAATACCTTCAGCTGCATTCACTGCCAAAACAATTTCCTTGTTTATAGGTTTTTGTCCCTGTAGGACGGGCTGGAATGATTCCATAGACGATGTCACGAACTCCATATGCTGCAAGCTCTGCTTTCTCCCGTGGCCAATATTTAAATATCACTAATGCAACAAATATTAAAAATGTATTTATTTTGGGTGCATGTTTTGCTGTTTGCTGTTTCTTATATGTTAGAAGAGTTGTTGCACTGATAGCACCCGACGGCAAAGAATTGGTTGCCAGTTTCTCAAAATGGTTGCCAATGACAACCTGGCAACCATCACTGTCGAGCCCTGCCTAAGTGCACACCTTTCCCTCTAGATTGAAAACAGAAACAACTTATACTAAGGACTTTGTTATTGATTATGACTCTGGTTGATGAGAGTAAAGGTAGGCTAATGGAAATTATGCAAGTTATGTTTTGTTATCTTCTGATGTTGCAAAAAAAAACAACAACCCTTTATTGGATAGAGTTGGAAAGCGTTATGAACTTTCACGAAACCTCTCAACTAGTTTGGAATGGTTTCAGTTTTTAATCCTCCCTCTTATTTTCCTGTCTCTGTATGGAGCATGATAAAGACCTCATTATCCCGGCATTGTTTTAGTTTTGTTCTTTATTTAGTTCATTCAGTGCCACGAACAACAACAGCCTCCAATCTGTATTTAAAAGGTATGTTTTCAACATGCAAATAGTGATGTGTTGAGTCTTTGAGATGTGGCCATTACACTAGTCTGTAGTGTGATTGTTTATGATTCATACCTTTCCTTCTCCCTCTATCATCTTGTGCAGGCACGCAGAGGATCTGTCTGATCATTCTGAACCAGCCTCTGGACAAGGACTACCTACGTATCCTCTGGAGTAAAGGTACGTCTTTCATCACCAGCACAGATCAAACAAGCCCCCTTAATATCACCGTGATCCCATGTGCATTTATTTGCACTGAGCATGTATTCTGCTCTTTTTTGTTTTTGGTTGTTGTTTTTTTTTTTTTCTTGGTCAGACTGTGCTCTCTAGTCTGTGTCGCCTCCACTTTGCCAAATCTTAATTACTGCCATGTCATTGAAAATGCCCCCTCTCTGCCCTCTGCCCATATTTCCTGGCCAGTGTGTTTTAATGAAGTTCAAGTTGACTTTTTTTTTTTTATGTGCAGAAAATAATTTTCCTATTTGCTCAGATGACTTTTTATTTTATTTGTTTTGTTACTCCCGTGGCTGCATGACCTGAACAAGTGATATAATCAAAACAAAGATAACATTACAAAAAGGCAGTTGCCTTGCAGTCACAGCCTGAATATGCAGCATGACTTTTGTCCCCCAACCCCCCCTAAACAGATACTAAACAGATGTGTATGCATTTCATTCATACTCTCCATAGGTCATCAGCTTTTATGGCACTGAACCGCACTTAACTGTACAATTTTTCTATTCATTCAAACCTATTGAAAGCACTATTATAGCAAGTGTAAGGTCTCAAGGTAGCAAGTATAGTACACCCATTCAGACTCATTGAAGTGTGTATACATTCATTATAGCTAATTGGTTGGTAAATAATGTGAACACAGGCAGTGGCAGTAAGTGTCCACTCCACTCAGCGGGGGAGTGACAGGGTCAATATAAACAAACCCACTGGACCTAAGACCCCCGTGTTCACAGCGTGGGCGTTTCGGTCAAAACAAATCAACCATTAGACCTGACTCTGAGCTGTTGCTTACGTCTTTGAGCTCTCTTGCAGCCTTTCATCAGAGGGGAAATGGTCTGGTTAGTGATATCAGCAGATAGGGAATAGCTTACTGTCGTGCAGTTAGGCAAGCATGTTTGTGTCTTACCCTAAATGTTTTGTTATTGATGCAAAGCCCTTACCAGTGCCGGGAGTCGGCAGTATAGGTGAATGCTAAGGGCACCGTTATCCATAGGGGTGCCACAAATCTTGCGGAAAAACTAATCAAAATGTTTATCTTTTCCTATCTTTTTGCTATCACTACTATTATTTTGAAATACTACATAAAGCCACAACAACGTAACTACAAAACAAAGGTTCGGAGCTGATTCCCAACCTGGCTTACTGCTGGCAAAAGACCTGATCCGGTAGGACACTGTGTGGTTTTTTTGTCATCTATTGGAGACCAGTGTTTCTGTTTTGCACCCCACCCTCTCACAAACTCTCGTGTGAGAGGAGCTCAAGACTTCCATTAGAATTGTGATGATTTCACCAAGTGTCATATCCTCACATCCTTCCGCAGGTTCACCTACGGAAACCTTTATATGACTTATACTTCCTCTAGATAGTTAAGTTTGATCATCTTCTAAGGGCGCATTTACACCAGGATTGTCCGGGGACTCGGTTCAGTTGGGCGTAAAATTTCACGCCTTCATTTGGTTCGGTTCACTTTCACACTGCACTTTTTAAAGCGGACCAAGCTGCCTGGACAACGTCATGCAGTTACAACAGCTGCTCATTTGGGGGTGGTATTGCCCGAAACGATCACTAACTAGGAATAAAAAAAGCATGAAGAAGACTACCCAGCTCATCAGTTGGCCAGGACCGAAAACCCATCACATTCAATTGTGGACCTTAATATATTACTGTTGCAGTTTTTTTACCTTGATGCAATACTGATCTGCCAACCGATTAAATCCGTGTGCCGCAATCCTCTCGCTAAACAATTCAAAAACTGCTTCTCCCAGGGTTTGCTCATTTGGGCCACACCAGAGTTCGAATGAGCGTTCACACCACTCCAAATGAACCAAACTATCCGTGGAAGCAGACCAGGGTTCATTTAAAGCGGACCAAGTAGCACCAGTGTGAATGCGTCCTAATACAGAGGCTTATTTTTCTCGGTTCCTGCCGCCCCTGGCCCCCCTCCCCAGCTTGTTACGCTTTACCTGCTCTCTGGGGGAGATGGGCAAGTCATCCAATGTCCTGTGAATCCTGAACAAAACACTTTGTATCGTTATCATGTCGCCAAGGGCATGAAATGTGCTAGGGCCACCACTGGCTGTTACTTATACATATACAGTCAGCAAAGAGCACAACTTTCTCTGAAGATTTCAAACAGAACAAAGGCTGTACTTTCAAATTCAAACATAGAGCACCTGTGTGTGTAATACAAGCTCACTGCTGGCTCCACTTTAGCAGCATTGGAGTAACAGTTGCGCCCAGGGGCATTCTGACGATTATTGTTGGAGATGGAGAGAACTGTGCTCAGTCACTGTCACATCAGCAACCTGCTGGTCACAAGTTTGCTGGCAGTTTATGAACTGAGGAAGTCCCCTAGATTCCAACCACTTTTTTTTTTGTAGTTGGTAACTAGAGGATGTAGAAATGGGTTTGATTCGCCTTCTGCTTCATGAATACTCCAGGGCCCTTTATCAGAGTAAAAGACAAACAGAAATTCAGTCAACTCAAAAACATGCAAAGAAGGCTCATCGTTAAAAGAGGAAAAATAGGTTTTTGAAGGGAAGTAGAGCTCCAGACTCCCTGAGGTGTCGCTTATGAGATGCGTTGATGCATAGCGGTTTTGCTACTTGGCTGTGATGTATTAAATATGCAAAGCTGACTCTGAGCCTTTAAACCAGACAGTGTCATCTCAAACTGTATCCTAGAACTTTTCTTTTAAATGTGATGAACTGATCAGAAACAGAGCCTAACTGAATGAGAATAACTTGAACCAAACTGTGCTGAATTTTTCAGGCACATTGCTTTATCAAGGACGTAGTGGAGTGAAGTAGCCTGGATGACTGGTTTTCAGTTTTGATACTAAGACCATGAAACTAAAAAAAAATAAAAAAAAAAACTGAAGGCACGCTAATTTAGGAAAAAAGGCAACACACAGACTTATGCAATCATGGAAGAAGGTAGTAAACAATGTAACTTTGAAGGCAAACTTGTGATTAAACCCGCATCAGATTGAATTTTAATGAACACGGCTTTGATATTCTTATCAACTTAGCAAAAACCCAAGAGGCACCTGAGCTCTTTCCACCGCACGGCTCTCTCGGTTTTTGCCTTTATATTAGCAGACCTCCACAAAATGTTAAATGGCATCAGACAAAGCAATTTCCTCATCTGATTTCACACCAACGGTTGCCTGCTGTCCCAAGATAACGATTCTTTGTATAGTTAAATAAGTGAGAAGAATAAAAAGATTAAAATTGAAAGAAAGAAAAACACATAAAACATTCATCAGACGGATTTTGATACCTGTTAAATGAAAAGGGAATGGGTTAATTGATGCTTAATCCCATTGAAGTCTAACACTGAGCATCAGACTAAAGGGGAAGGCCAGTTTTCTGTCCATCTGCACACTACTATCAAAAATCACATTGCGAGTTTTTTAGGAAAACTGCACTTGTTATATGGTTTGAGATGCATTTGAACACCCATTTGTAATTTCTCAGTGCAAACAATATCCAAATTGAGGAGAGTTTTTCAATATTCAGCTTAAATTGTTTGTTTTCAGCCAAGATGTGGACATATTAGACTCGTAATAGATTCCTCACGCCCTGTCGATTGTAACTGACCCTCAGCAGTGTTTGGAGATTGATATTTTTCATTTAATATCCTCATTTTCGAATCCAAACTGTGACCAGACCAGCAGAGTTTAACTGTTGTGGTTATACTCCAGTGATTACATTTTACACATATGGATTGTGGAGCTGTTGCACATCCTTTTGCTGATTGTTTCACTCTTTTTTTTGTTATTCCACCCAGTACTTGCCAGAAATACAAGATTTAGAATCACAAGGAAAGCAATGTGTCAAATCATCAAACCATCTAACTGCAGTATTTTGCAACCACTGTGGGATAGATGGACGTATCAGATATACTTTGACAGTGTGATGCAGTGTGATAGTGTCATACAGCGTTTGCTCCCTCTTAGATAAGGCTACTTATTAAAGTTTCGGAGAGATTTAGGGTGGTTTCTTAAGTGCCACAAGCAATGCTGTGGTGTGGATGTCAGAAATTGGGAAGCTTTCTTGATCAGTTTTGCACTTGGCAGCAGTGCACATGGGACTGGAAGAAGTTTTGACAGGATGATGATGGTGCGTGAATGGCAGATCTCAGATCTCTCGCAGTGTGATGGTAAACACGCTTGTAGCAAGTTTATCGTTCCTCACTTGATATGCCATGTATTTTTAATGTTGTTTATGGGATGAGCAGATGTCAGTGTGCGCATGAGCGTGTCAGAGTGTGTGTCACTCCCCAGATGGTTGTTCACCTGGAGGCATCGTAGCCAGGTCTCCACCCTTACAGACACGCTCACACACAGACACACACACACACGCAGTACTCTCAGGTTCTCTGATGTGCTGCCCCTGGGCCCCCTCATCACCTGTGGGAGAGGTAGAGCAGCAGGGAGCAAAGGAGCGATAGAGGCTGGAAGAGCGCAACACTGATCAAAGGGAAGCTCATTTACAGGTGCCGAGTGTGATGTTGTAAAGTGGGATCAAGCTGCTTATCTCACTCACTCACCCTCTCACTCATCTAGTCCATCAGTCACCCAACTCACTTGTTCATTCAGTCAATCAGTTGCTCATTTACTTACTTACAGATCCTTCACTTACTTCGCCGTGTAACAACACAAACAAGAAAATCAATAAAGCAATCAGGGAAGGCAACTCTCTGTACAAGACAAAAAGCAGGCCTGTGCCTGATTTCATCATTTGTTGATGTGAAGCAGCTTGCTGGAGTTAAAGTTTATGACCGTCAGCCGGTCGAATATCAGCCTTGCAGTCAAGGCCGGTTGAGTGATGTGACTGCAATGTGTGCAACGTGCTGCACATATACACTTCCTGAAGTTCTGTACTTAGGTACGTGTCAGATGGAGTAAATCGGTGCCTGGAGATTTCAAAAAGAGAAGCTGG